ATAGGTAAATTGAGAAACAAGGGTATTGGGAAAATTTGAAATTTGAGAAATGAGGAAATTGCAAAATTGGAAAATTAGAAGTTTGGGAAATTTAGAAAATTTGACACCTGGGAAATTGGAAAATTGAGAGATTAAGAAATTGGAAAATGAGGAATGTTTGGAAAAGTAGCAAAATTAGGAAATGGGAAAATTGGGAAATTGGGAAACTGAAAATTTGGGAAAATTAGGAAAATTGGGGAATTGTGAGAATTTGGAATTATGGGATATAGGAAAATTGAGGAATTGGGAAAATTCGAAATTTGGGAAATAGGGAAATTGGGAGGTTGGAAAATTAAAAAATTGGAGAATTGAGAAAATTGGGAAATGGTAAAATTGGGTAATTGGGAATATTGGGAAATGGGAAATTGTCAAATGGGAAATTGGAAAATGAGAAAATTGGGAAATGGGAAATTGTCAAATGGGAAATTGGAAAATGAGAAAATTGGGAAATGGGAAAGTTGGGAAATTGGGAAACTGAGGAATTGGAGAATTGGAATAATTTGCAAATGGGAAACTGTGGAATTAGGAAACCGGGGAATTGGGAAATTTCGCAATTGGGAAATTACCACCGAATATTCCACAGTCCATGCACACTCCAAATTAACAGCAAATAAATCCATTTTTCCGTCCACTAAATTTATCGCAAATATGTATACGTTCCACAAGCGGATAGTCTTCTGATATCACTCCTCTATTTTCGCGGTTACCGGATAATTAACGACGGCCAACGAAGATGGAATCCGTGGGATTAGGAAACTTTATTAAATATTTGGCATTCTCTCATTTTAATATTCTACATTCCCTTGAATTTGATGCCACGGTATATTAATTGACATTTCGAGCTCGTTCACGTTTCACCGATCGTCGATACTGTCGGAATTCTGATTAAACGCGGTGACGCAAAAATGTTCAACGTCAAACCTGCCTACGTCCGTTTCCTCATTTTGTGTTTCTGCATTTTTGTCCGGGGACGTTTTTCATTTTGTTACGTGATAAAATTCGTTTAACCTGACAAATATCCGTTTGGACAAAGGAATGTCCGATATATTGCCACCCGAAATTTCGAAATTTCATTTTTACACCTTTGAACTATGAAATTTGCACGATTTTTATTTCGTAAAGTCTGGAATTTACACGATTTTTTAAAAGAAAAGTTCGTCAGTGAAATTCGTTTTGAAATGCTTGATATTTTAAGAATTTCTATGTTCAAATAAAATTTTATATTCGAATATTTGATGATTAAAAATTTTCATACTTGATTATTTAATAATTAAATTTTTTGTAATCGAATATTTTATTATTAAAAAATTCCCACACTCAATCATTCAATAATTAAAATTCCCATAATCAATTATTTCATAATTAAAAAATTCCAATATTCGATTATTCAATATTTAAATTTTTTGTAATCGAATATTTCATAATTAAAAAATTTCTATACTCAATAATTTAGTAATTAAAATTTTTATGTCTGAATATGTGATAATTAAAAAATATCCATACTCAATTATTCCATAATTAAAATTTCTGAAATTGATTATTTCATAATTAATATATTCTTGTACTGGATTATTCAATAATTAAAATTCCCATAATCAATTATATCATAATTAAAAAATTCCTGTACTCAATAATTTAGTAATTAAAATTTTTATGTCTGAATATGTGATAATTAAGAAATGTCCATACTCAATTATTCCATAATTAAAATTTCTGAAATTGATTATCTCATAATTAATATATTATTGTACTGGATTATTCGATAATTAAAATTCCCATAATCAATTATATCATAATTAATCAATTCCTATAGTCAATAATTTAGTAATTAAAATTTTTATGTCTGAATATGTGATGATTAAGAAATTTCCATACTCAATTATTCCATAATTAAAATTTCTGAAATTGATTATTTCATAATTAATATATTCTTGTACTGGATTATTCAATAATTAAAATTCCCATAATCAATTATATCATAATTAAAAAATCCCTATACTCAATAATTTAGTAATTAAAATTTTTATGTCTGAATATGTGATAATTCAAAAATTCCCATACCAAATTATTAAATAATTATAATTTCTATATTTAAATTTTTCATAGTTTAAAATTTTATAATTTCTCTCTAAATTTTAGAATTAGTAGTCAAAAATTAGTATAACTTATGTCACGCATAAAAATGTCGTTACTTTTCGCAAGAGAAACAATGAACTGCTTTGATGGCGATAAGAGTGAAACGAAACCCGAGTGAAGTATTAAATTTTGGACAATGGCCTCTGCTATTGTTTCGAACGGGCAAATGGTTTCAATTAATGAGAAGCGACGGGGTAAATTTTTATCTCATGCATATTAATGACCGCGATGTAAAAGGCTTTACAGCGTGTTAGATTTGAAATGCAACAGAGTAATCAAAGAGTCCGGTGATAGCGGTGTATATTATTCATGAGAGTGGTGCGAATGTATGCAAAGTTATACACGTTTGTCGCACTTACTTGTGTGGAAAATGGAAAACCAAAGGGAAAAATAAAGTGGTAAGTCAATATTGATTTCATTTGAATAATCGTATGCTTACTTTTTTGCGACCGACGCGTTCGAGTGGATTTAGTAATGTGAACGATGAGAACAATCCTTATTGAGACAACTTTTCATGGATATAGGATTAGTTTTCGTTTGAAATATCTTTGGATTGGCATTGAATGAAATTATAGAGGGAAATGGAAAATTAAGAAGCTGGACAATTATGCAATTGATAAATTCAGTAATTGGGAAGTGGAAAAATGAAGAAAATTGAGAAATGTGGAAATTGTAAAGTGGGAAAATGAGAAATTAGGAAATTAAGAAATTGAGGAAAATGGGTAAATTGGGAAAATTGGGAAAATGGGAAAATTAGGAAAATTAATAGAATTAGGAGAATTAAGAAAATTGGGAAATATGACAGTTGTGAAAATGGGACATTAGGAAATTGAGAAATTGTGGAAATGGGTAAACTGGGAAAATTGGGAAAAATTGGGAAAAATGGGAAAATTAGGAAAATTAATGGAATTAGGAGAATTAGGAAAATTGGAGAATGGGAAAATTGTGAAATAGGAAAATTGAGAAATTAGGAAATTAGTAAATTGGGAATTTGTGAAATTGGGAAACTGTAACATTGGAAAATTGGGAAACTGAAAAATTGGAAAATAGGAAAATTGAGAAATTAGAAAATTGGGAAATTAGGAAATTAGGAAATTAGGAAATTGGAAAATTGGAAAATTGGGAAATTTAGAAATTAGGAAATTAGGAAATTAGGAAATTGGAAAATTGTGAATTGGGGAAACTAGGAAATTGGAAAAGTGAGAAATTATGAAAATTACAAAATTCCAAAATACAAAAATTGAAAACTTCCGTAACTATGGTCTCAGAAATTGAAAAGTATATACTCCCAAGTAAATAGAAAAATAAACACAGAAACACTAAATCTCCCATCCTTCAAGCGCACAAATTTAATAACATCAAATGTCCAAAAACTGACAAGAATTGCAAATATCTGTCGCGACGAAGAGTGGCAGTCCCAGTTTGTATCGCGTCCTACATCCAAAATTGATCCTCCACCTAAAGTGTTTCAGGCTGTCCAGTTTTTAAATATCCAGACCATCAATAATCAATCTCGACAAGAAAATTTCATTTCTCTGGCATGTTGCTCTCGTTCAATTTATGTTTTCTACGCGAATGTCCCCGTGGTTTTTTGCTGTGACCGTCTCATGCCAAGGAACGGAACATTGCTTCAATAATGGATCATGCAAAAAAGATTGACTGAGTTGAAAGTAGAAAAAGTGTTCATGAAACTTTCGTACGTTCAGTATGGTCCCTGTTAAAATGGTTGCAGGCACTTTTCAAATATCATATACATATGTATAGCCTGTCCTACATTCCTTTTAACGAACTATCATGCTTTATTTACTTTTTAAATAACTCGTATGTTATGTCAAATATAATATATATTTCGTACAAATATTTTTTTCATATGTGCAAACATATGTTATTAGAACCACATATGTAACTATATTTGTTACGACTACATATACATTATATCAAATATAATATATGTTTCATGTCAACATTTTTTCATATGCGCAAACATATGTTATTAGAATCACATATGTAAGTATACATATGTAAGTTACACATGTCTTTATGAATTGCACATTATGTAAAGTTACATATGTGTGATATAAATACTTGCTGTTATTACATATGTTACTGTAATAACATATGTGTATTGTTATAACGTATGCAAATATATATATGTAAATTCATATGTAAATTGCTATAACATGTGAATACATATACGTAAATTCACATATGTATAAATTATTGTAACTACATATGTAAATTAGTATAATGCATGTAAAAAAGCATATGTGAATTTATTTGCAAGTTACTATAACTACATATGACAATTACTATAATGTATGTAAATACATATATATAAATACATGTGTAAATTTCTATGATTACATATGTGATTATATCAAGTATTCATATAAATTGTTACAGTGCTATGTATTATAAATTGCATGAATTATGATTGACTATAATTCTGTTATGTCATAATTAAACCATATGTTATAGACAACTTTTGAGTACATATGTAGAATTCCACATGTGTATACAAATTTTAAATTATAATCATATACATGAACATACAGCCACGACTTTATATTTTAATTTTGTCCATTTTTTTTTAATTAAATTACAAGACTACCTCACTTGAAGTCACTCGACTAATTTTTCCCTAATAACATCACCAATGACCATAAAACAAATTATTTCCATAAACGTACGAATGTGAAAGAACATATCGTCTTTCAGCGAACGGTGTTTGCAATAAAATATCGAAGAGATAAAAATGAGCTGAGAGAGCGTTTGAAAGATGTAACATCGACAGTCGGAAATGGTAAAATTTCAGCATCGAAAAGTCAACACCTGGGTTCCGGTCGAATTATTCGTTGCCAGCTGTTTGAGATTCCTGCGTCATGTAGGTTCCACGGTGATTTCGCATCGGGGGCACGTATTTCTGTTTCATCCCTCTGTTTCCTTCCGTTCCCGTTTTCCTTTTCCGCGAAATCTTGCGTCTGCAAATGCGACCCGACCGAACGTCAACTCCATATTTTTCTTTTTGCCCGATGTTTGCCTAACCAAAGGAATAAGGCTGAGATCACACATGACCAATCAAAGGCGAACAAATGACGCCGCTGGAAAAGAAATTCTGCAGGGTCCGTTTTACCGATAACACCTACTGGCAAATTTTAATTTGCCAAAAAAATTTATAATTGTTAGGTATTTTTCTAAATTTGGAGATTTCGGAGGACTGTTAAATGGTTGTCAAAATTTGGGAAGCTTCGTAACGATTTAAAATTTTTCAAGTTTTGAACTTTTTAATCTTAGAAATTTGATTGGTAGTAATTTAGAAATTTAGAGAATTGGCATTTAATTTGGGGACTTAGAAATAGAGATATATAGAAATTTGGAATTGCAGAACTATTGTAATATCAAATATTTATATGTTAATTTAGAAATATTAATTATAGTTATTTACCAACTATGTCATTTAGAGATTTAGTGATTTTGTAAGTTAAAGATAATTTACTAGTGAAATAGTGAATTGGTGATCTAGTGCTTTAGTGACGTAATGATCTAGGGATACAGTGATTTAGCAATATAATAATCTAGGAATATTGGGACCTAGGGTTATTTGGATTTAGAGATATTTGGATCTAGGGATATTTGGTTCAAGGAATATGTGGATCTAGGGATATTTGGATCTAATGCTATTTTGGATTCAGGGATATTAGGATCTAGGGATATTACAATCTAGGGTATTTAGGGTCAATGGATATTGGGATTTAGTGCTATTTTGGATTTAGGGATATTGGGATCTAGGGATATTTTGATTTAGAGATGTTTGGAACTAGGGATATTTGGATTTAGTGCTATTTTGGATTTAGGGAAATTGGGATCTAGGGATATTGCAATCTAGGGTATTTGGGATATAGGGAGATTAGGATGAAGGAATATTGGGATCTAGGTATATAGTGATCTAGAGATGTAATAATCTAGTGATATTGGAATCTAGAGATATTGAGATCTAGGGACATAGTTATCTACTGAAATAGTATTCTAGGGATATAATAATCTAGGGATATTGTGATTTAGTGACATAGTGATCTAGGCATATGTTAATATGGTCATCTAGTGATTTAATGATATAGTGATCTAGTGATTTATAAGCAATTGGTAATTTAGTAATTTTATTATTCAGTCATTTAATAATTTAGTAGTTTAGGAATTTTCTCATTTAGAAATGTGCAATTAGAAATAGAAAATTTGGAGATTTGAGATTTTTCAAATTATTGATCTGAGATATTGGCAAATTATTGATCTGAGATATTAACAAATTATTGATTTGAGATATTAACAAACTAACAAATTGCCAATCTTGATATTTTAACAATCAAAAATCCGTCAAATTAAAAACCCAATAAAAGTTCTTCCTTACCCATAAACGAACCCACAACTTCTTTAAAAATTTCATTCAAATTACGCCAACACAAAAATACGAGTAAATCGTCTCTCAAATTAATCTCACCAACGTCGTATAATGTTTGAGAGAAATTTCTTCTTCGAATTTTAATGTCACTAAGTGGTTTTTTCTTTATTGGAAAGCTTCACAGTGACTGTCGTTATTTACTTGCCAGCATACCGCACCGAGGTATATCTACAGGATGAAAAACAGAAGAATACTAAGCCCTTTTTTACAGACCACGTGTGTATACGTGGTTGACACTTTTCATCGCGAAAAATAAATCTCGACCAATCTTTTTTCCATTTTCCGTCGACGAAATGTCGCGTTACGGTGTAAAACGCGAGAATTCGCAGCGTGCCAATCAAGGAAGATTAATTGAATAACATACTACCTCAACGAAATGCATTCTATTCTTTGTCGTTTTTCTGCTTTCTCTTCGATGTCCAATTTTTTAAGAACAATTTTCTTCTATCAATTTTTATTAACGGTTCCTCTCTTTTCTTATTCGTTTACTATTATATATATTATATTATATATACTAACTAATTTCTTGAGTAGATAAATTTACATACTTATGTATATTTATTATTTTTTTAAAATAATTATAATATTAAATAAATTTAACACTGAACATATTAAATATGTAATACTAAAAAATACAAATAAATTAAATTAATAAACATAAATAATTAATGGGATGTTACATAAATTCATTTATAAATAAATGTACATATTGAAGTTCCATTATTTAATTATTTTTCAAACAAGTAGAATCACTTAATTCAAACAAGAACAATAATCCGAAAGGACCCTAGAAAAGTAATAAAACACCAAGTAAAAAGCACGATTTCAAACGAGACGAATCAGTAGATAACCAATTTCGAAATGGATAACCGAAAAGTGTATATTTAACAGAGAATTGAATATCGCACGATGCAATTGCACCTAGGCACCTTTCATTTACGAGAGCAGAATTGCAATTTGCAATCAAGGATCAGTCTGCAGATTCGATCGGTTTCGTTACATTTTTAATACCCTGCAAATTCAACGCGGATGCGTCGATCATCGTCGGAAAAAATTTGTTCGAACGATGTCACAATTAATGTCCTTTCGTTCTCTCCTGTTGTATTGCATTTTTTAGTACTACATTATAGATTTTTAATCATATGTAATGCTTTTCAGTATTGCTGGAAAATTTTCAAATTTTTTTGTTGAGTTGTTGGATTTTTGGATTATCAAATTTTTTAAATCTCAAATTTTTATATTTTATCATTGTTAAATTATCAAATTGTCAAATTTTGAAATTTTTTAATTATTAATCCGTCACTATTAGAAATTCTTCTGATACAATTTTTCTTCAAATCTGAACTACTTTTCAAATGTTCAATTTTCTACAATAACAATTTTACAAATCATCAGATCTATAATTATTCACAGAATTCTTTAATTATCAAATTCACAGTTCTCCAAATTTTCAGTTTACAGTTCTTCGAGTTTTGTACCAGAATCACGATTCTACAAATTATCATATATTCAAATTTTTCTTATCAATTTATAAAATTGCCAAGAGCACATGTTCATCACCATAAACCCTACAAACGTTCAAGTCCCAATATTTCCCCGTTCCAAACCCACACAACCAACAGAAACAATAAACGATTCGTCGTCAATTCAGATATTTCCACAAATTAATCATGGCTAGTATCGTTAAATGCGATCAGGAATTCATTGGTTCGGTATTAGCTGAGCGGAAGAGCGTCCCAGCGTGAAAAACCGTATATAAATGCGCACGTGACGAGATTACATTTCCTATAAATTTAAATACGGGCGATAGAAAGTTCTGTTTTCGTCAACCGTGTAATATAGTCCGTGTGTCGGACATGCAATCATGAAATTAAATTTTGACCGTTGAATTTCCGGGGACCGGGACAGACGTGCGGGATTTCGAGCGTTTTCCCTGTTATTACGCCGATCGGAAGAGTTTCAAGCGGAAAAACGAACGAAAAAGGGAAGGAAAAAATACGAGAGGTCTTCGAGTTTCTCGGATACCGGACATTTGCATATCACGGACCTGCTCACGGCAGTTCAGCTTTTTCCACGGCATTTGCATTCTAATTAAACGAAGGATAAAATAGCGGGGACGCGTTTTATTGGCCGCTACTCGGACATGGGATTATTACTCGGTGCATGTTTAGATCAAATTTTTGGAATCATTTGGAATGACTGGTCTTTAGGATATTTTTATTTAGGAGATTTAGAGAAACATTGGGGAGCGATTTGAATTTTTTATTTATTTGGATTTAGAATAATAAATGGGTCATTTCACGCCAAATGGATTTTGGATATCACCATCTGCGATTGTGCTCTAATCAGAATATGTTGTAGTCCATGTGAAATTAGGGGGGGTTTAAGCCATACGGTAGTTACCCAACCTGTATGTATACAGTCCAAACTGACCATACCAGTATGCATTTACGTTAATCCTACCTAACCTCTACGTACAAAGGTTAATCTGAACTAACGTTTATAGACAAAGGTTAATCTGATCTAACTCATAGTAACAAAGGTTAGAGCAATCTAACATCTACGTAAAAATGTTAGTCTAACCTAACCTCCACATGCAAAGGTTAGGCCAATCTATCCTTTACGTACAGAGGTTAGTGTAACCTAACCATTGCATATGAAGGTTAGACTTACCTAACCTTTACTTAAAAAGGTTAATCTAACCTAACCTTTACACACAAAGGTTAGTCTAAACTAACCTCTACATACAAAGGTTAGTCTAACCTAACCTCCACGTGCAAAGGTTAGTGTAACCTAACCATTGCATAGGAAGGTTAGACTTACCTAACCTCTACTTACAAAGGTTAGTGTAACCTAACCATTGCATAGAAAGGTTAGACTCACCTAACCTCTACTTACAAAGGTTAATCTCACCTAACCTTTACACACAAAGGTTAGTCTAAACTAAGCTTTACATACAAAGGTTAATCTAACCTATCCTTACACACAAAGGTTAGTCTAGACTAACCTGTACATACTGAAGTTAATTTAACCTAACCTTCAGGCACAATGATTAGTCAAATTGAACCTTGTTTTATACCATTCGCCGCCCTCTAGCTGAACGCGCCACTCGCATACCCAAACATTTTATAACAAATTGACGGAATGAGAAAAAATATTTTGACATAGCTCCATCCTTTATGGATAAAACAAAAGAAAGTTTAGGTAAATCGGTTGAGTAGTTTCTGAGAAAAAATTTCGTAAGTGAAACCTATTAAAGATTACAAACTTTTCGCCTTCTACAATTGCATAACAAATGTTATTGAAAAGGGAAACAAATTTTTAAATCAGTTATGAAAGGAGTGATTTCACCTTCAGATATAATACAATAAATTATTTCAGTAAATATTTATTCAAAGTAAAAGTTTGCAAAGTTACTCGATCCAAAACAAATTTATTTGATCAAAAATTATAATCGGTTCGTTGGAATACACAGGAATGTACGTGTTTCATTATGCTTTGTTTCCATTTATTTTGTGTTCACAA